AAAAATTCAAAGCGGCAGAAGCCGATGGTCTACTAACACGGCTTAGCGACAGGCATTAAACGCCATTCAGCGAGAAAACGAGAGTCACCACCAACTATTGCAGACGAAGAGCTCGAGCTGCCCGAATAATTTTCGCGTAATTAAGATTTGGATATTGAAGACTTGAGCGCGACATATCCATCGTATGTCTGCATGCAATGAGTCTACGCACGACGCTAACCACCTCTTTGCATGTCCTCTAAAACCATCCTTTTCCTCTGGTCCGAAACAGCTTGTTTACTGGACCTCCCGCTAGATGGCTGCGTAAACATCATATGATTTTGTCTGCTCCTAAGTAGGGTTAGGTTTCAATGTTCTTGCAACGGCAATTCTAAGCGTTCAATCAAACCGAAAGGGGAGTTTGTACTAGAGTTTGTATTGGTAAAATATTAGTCCACCCAGAAAATCCACCATTGCCCAGACATTCATCTTGCGTCGTTGTCAAAGCTGTCTGCGAGAGCAGGAAAAGGAACTGCTCTCTTCCATGATCAGATGTATAGCATTTCATCTCTGATTCTGCTAACTTGGTATAGAAAAGTTTGTTTCTATATATTAGGTGTACAACTTTGCTTCCGCCGTTTTTTTTCCAAAATAAAAGCTTTATTGCGAAAAAGTGCTTAGAGATATATTATTCGAAGTGTTGTCCTTCGCTAGCGACAACTTTCTCCCATCTTTCCGGCAATTTTCGGATCCCGGCTCGAAAAAAGGAGTCCTCTTTTGACGCTATCCATGAAGCAATCCATTTTTCCAATTCTTCGAAGGATTGAAAATGTTGATCTGCCAGGCCGTGTGCCATCGAACGGAATAGGTGGAAGTTAGAATGGGCGACATCTGGGGAGTGCGGCGGGTGGCGCAAGACTTCCCATTCAGGTACTTTTTGACCACTTTTGCGACGTGAGGCCGAGCATTGTCGTGTTGGAGGATGTCTTTGTCATGTCGCTCTTCATATTGTGGCCGCTTTTCTTTTAGCGAGCGGCTAAGGCGCATCAGTTGCGTTCGGTAGCGATCTCCTGGGATGGTTTCACCCGGTTTTAAGAGCTCGTAGTAAATCACCCCGAGCTGATTCCACTAAATACAAATCATAATCACCATGTTTGTCTTCGACACCGAAATCACCATTTTTAAAACGTTGAAACCACTCCCGACACGTTCTTTCACTCAGAGCAGCATCACCGTAAGTTTCTGAGAGCATTCGATGCGCTTCAGCTGCATTTTTTTCGAATTGTAACAGAAAAGCAAAACTTCCCGAAAATGGCGAGAATTAGGCACATAAATGGGCATTTTCGATCGTGAATAATACGAAAACAAGAACAACTGTCACTGAAACGGCGATGACAATTCGGTAGGCACTGTCCACACTCACTTTAGAGGCATTATCATCTATGTATTTCAACCAGCCTCATCCGATACAGCCACATATCGGAAAACGGCGGAAGCAAAGTTGTGTTGGATAATAAGTTCACCCGGAAGTCTCAGTGTGTGACCGTAGACTAATTTAGCTGAAGAACATTTAAGTTCTTCCTTAATCGCTGTTCGTAAACCTAAAAGAATCCATGGTAAAATTTCAGACCAATGAACTGAATCATTTGATGCTGTAATTGCGGTTTTCAAAGCTCTATGAAATCTTTCAATCATTCCATTTGATTTATTTAAGTGGATATTGTAAGGTACAAATGTTAAAGTAGATTCCTACACTTGGTATGAAAAAATTGATTTTTTTCGAAAGTACTATATATAGTAGTAAAGAGAAATCTATTAGTTTTGCATGAAATTGTAGGCTTTAATTACCACAGTTAGAATGACCTGATTTAAGTCAAATATGTGCCGTTTCGTTTGATAGCCTGTTGCCATTTTAAAGTTCTTTCCTTATGCCTCGCTCTTAGAAGCCCTCGCTCCTATTGGCAAAAAATTGAGACAGTCGATTTACACAAGCCTAACTTGAAACGAATTTATCACCATCAAAATTGTTCACCATGGACAAGAACGGATGGTCTGGACTTTTCAATGCCAGTCACCAACCGCTTCAGAAATGAGTAGATTTTGTTCGTCCATGGGTTTTTTTACGCTGAGTAGTGTGGCACCCATATATCGAGCTCCTTTTCGTATCCAGCCCTATTCGAATGGTTCCGTGCGATTTTTGTGCAAACCGTAGCTTACAGACGGTCGGACTCGACAATGTTCATGACTTTATCAACATTTTCGACAATTGGCCTTTCAGTGCGTTGTGCACCTTTGACTTAGAAATTACCGGAACGGAATCGACGCACCCGAAATTGAGCTTAATTGGCTGTTGGAGTCTCAGGAACATAAACGCTATTCACATTTTCTGCCGTCTGGCTTGCGTTTTCGCCACAGTAAAATATATCCAATCACAAAACTCTCCGAAAAGCTTTTTTTTATCTATCTAGCGCCATATAGCTTATACAACGCGAGATGAAGATAAATAACGCCACCTATTGGAAAAATAATGGAATTTTTTTAGTACAACCTAATATTAAGAATGCACTGTAAAAATTTTCGAAAGGATTTTGAAATATTGACGAAGTTATACCACCTGTAGGTGAGAGTTTCGTAGTAGTACGCGCTGTGCCTGAAGATAGCTGAAAAGATTTTGAAGTTTTAAGCGCGTATTTCGCGAAACAACATTCTTGTAGCCGATCCCGGATGACATCTAACCGATGGAGCTGCAATTTAAATACGAGTATATTATTCTACTCATCAATAGCTCTCGCAGGAACTAGAATCTTCTTTTTTATCACTAAATTACCATTTTAAAGCCTGTTTTAAACTTGAATAAAATTCTTTCATTTTTCAAGCCAACGATTTTCTTATTTTTCAACGATTTTGTTTAAACCTAATTCTAACCAGAACCACAAGCTCATTGAACAATAATCTTTTTGACTTTTATATTGTATTGGATGAGTGCATAAGTTCGTGCCCGATTTCAAGTGCAAACTAAAATTGAAATTTTTTGAAGAAAGCGCTTTTATTAATCAATTATGTATTCGCCATCATGTTCGGCAATCCACTCCCAACGTTCAACCAATTTACGAATGCCTGATTCATAGAAATCGCGCGGTTTCTCGTTGAAAAATGGGTCAAGGTGGTTTTTGACGTCTTCCACATTTTTAAATTTTTTTCCATTCAAATTATTCTGCAGCGATCGAAACAAATGATAATCAGAAGGTGTCCCAAATTAATCTCCTTCAGTTTGGCCAGGGTCGGTTTTGCAACATGTGGCCTGGCGTTGTCATGATGGAAAAGAACTCCTTTGCGATTGGCCAAAATCGGAAGTTTTTCATCGATTGCTTTCTTCAATTCGACCAATTGCTGACAATACTTGTTGGCAGTGATCGTTTCTCCAGCTGGCAAGAGCTCAAAATAGATCACGCCTCGGATATCCCACCAAATGCACAGCAGCATCTTCATCCATGTTCTTTTGCGTTGAACATTGTTGTACAGTATCCATTTTTCATCACCAGTCACGAGCCGATCCAAAAAAGGCTCGTTTTTGATCCGTCGAAGCGAAGAAATTGCTGTTGACATACGGTCCACTTTGTTTTTTTTCACTCAACTGAGTATCGAGCTTCAAAGTGTACCCAACCTTTTTTAAACGACGAAATGCAGTTGAATTGTTGACGTTCAATTCAGTGGCAACCTATTCCGTCGTAATACGTGAGTTATTCGCAACTAAAATCCTTAGATCATCGTCATCAAGCTCAGAAGGCCGTCCACTGCGGGGTTGATCTTCGAGGTTAAAATTCCATGCGTCTTTTCACTAACCAACTCAAATCAAAATGAAGTTGTTTTATGCTTGATTTGTATTTCGGACTGTCACCTTTCCAACGATATATAATATGTATATATTTCTTTCACGAGCGCCACTCTCAAACGATTCGAACGGCATCCAGCGGAATCGGGCACGAACTTATGCACTCATCCAATATATATCCTTAAGCCACCTCCTTTTTTTTTGGGACGCTCATTTCAGTGGTTTGATAAAACAAGGTTGTAAAAAAAAATATAAAACAATTTCTTTTCACTCTGAGATAGTATCAATAATCAGTCCTATTCTAAATAAACCGGAAGTGGCTCTAATGCGGAGCGCAAATTTTCCTCTCCTGAAGAAGAGAAATGCAACCTCATTGGGATGAGAGCCGGTGGAAGGATTTGCCTGCGAATAAATTTGTATTGCCATTCTTCCTCATTTGCTTCAGCAGCCAGTAAATATACTACACAGTTAGCTATTCCAACAACAACAACATAGTACCACAGTATCCATAATTCTAATTTATTCTTTGTTTTCCATAAAAATTGTTTATTTCATCAAATTATCAAAAGTCAATAATATACAAAGATACTTAGCAGCTGTTTTCGAAAGAAAAATAACCTACTCCCAAAAAATCATTCTCCCTGTGCATTTAGAATTGGCGGATTTTTTCCCAGGGGATTTCTTAATCCGCATAGGAGAATTTCTGCGAGAATATTTAGAATCATCAACTTTACTATAGTTGATATATATATTTTAATACCCGAACCATTTCACAGATTTTTTTTTGGTTGTAAAATTATCAGTAAAAAACTATACTCATCTTGTTTATAGTTAAATAAATATTTTGAATATTGTGAATAAACTTCTGCTGGCGAGACAAGACTTTACTGTACCTTTACAAGCTAGTTGGCAACCCGACTTACTGGAAACCCTCTATTAGCGAAAAACAACACGATCCCTTAAACTTACTTTTAACCATAATCTTTCAAAAATACTATGACCCATTAGTGCTTAATAATATTGGTAATTTATAGTTACGTCCAACTCATCAAAACTAGAAAGTAAAATACCATAACTTTTATCCAAGTTTATAACTAAATTTTTATTTCATCTCAGTCCCATCTCGACCTCACACATAAATTAATTTATAAGTGTTTCAAAATAAAGATTATAACAAAATAATATCTTGTTTAAATCATACAGTTAGGGTAACTATTGCCAGTATGCCAACGTATGCGTGTATGTATATATGTAAGTGTATTTATATCGTTGATAATTACATCGATCTCATCATGTTGACTAACTCTTATGCACAAATTCTTTTAACTACTTTAAATTTAGCTTTACGGTTTTATAACGATATATTACGATATTAATAATAGAACATTAATTTTTACAATTTTTTCCATATATTTTCTAAATCGATTACAAAACAGTGAATAATAAAAACAAAAAAAAAAAAACACAAAATAAAAAAATATCGTCCATATTTGTTGTGTAAACTGTTTTGCTTGGTATGTCTGCGTGTGTTGTATGTGTATTCTAAAGGTAAGTGTGTAAATATGTCTGCATCATAAAAGTATTTGCAGATTTTCCAACTATTATGTGCAAATTACAAATATGTATTTTTAATTAATGTTTTAATATTGGGAGACAACAAATGTCACAAAATTTTTCACAGTACAACAATGTGGTGTGCCCGAATAAACAGCAGAAAATTTAAATACAAAAATATAGATATGCATAGGCCATAAACACAAGGAACACAATTATTAAGTAACGCAACCTGTAGATTTTACGAAAAATATAATTGCTGCTTTTAATGATGCTTGTAGTAATTCTTAGTTGATTGGGCATTCTCTTAGCTCGACCGTTAAAATTCTTGTTGCGTGCAGCTGTAATTGTAGTCAGAGTCATTGTTGTTTTAGCATTCGCCACTGTCGAATTGCCACCCATAATTATTGATGTTGCCGATACTACAGTGTTAATTGTTGTTTTAGTAGAGTTGGAAAGTATGGTGGAGTTTTGTTATTTCAGATCGAGATGATCATCATCCATGGAAGAAGTTGTAGTTATATTGCCGCTACTGCCGTTGACATTGTTATTTTTAGCACAACGCGCTATCAGTTCTTCGTACGGTTTGTTGTTCAAGAGGCAGACAAGCACAACAGTCATGTTGTCGCCACCCAGCCCACCCATCTGGCAATCAGGTGCGAGACAATGATTCATTAGCTCTTCGCAAATCTCTTCCGGATACATGCCCATGCCGATACGTTTTCGACAAAAGTCGATGACTTCTTTGTTGCTCATTACATCCCAAATACCGTCGCATGCCAAAACAATAAATTCCCAATCCGCTGTTATTTCACGTGACTCCACATCGGGATAGGCTAAACGAAAGAATGAAACAATGTGAAAGAGAATGAGAATTGAATGAGAAATCCAGCGTAAATATGAAACGGAAGAAGGCAAATAACAATTTCAAATCATTCCGCACTTTAACTTATGTACATACATATATAATATACATGTAGTATGTACATATACATATATATATGCACAAATGCAATGTATAATGAAATTAAAATAAACAAATAATTTTATTAAGCGCCTGCCTTTGTTACTCAATGAAATAAATTAAATAAAAGGCCGAATGTGTATAAACAAAAAATCATTGGTACGTGTAAACATTTATATATAATATTTATATATATATATATGTATTCCACCCAAAATGCGTGTTTACATATTTAGCTATAAATATAGATCAGCACGTTGCAGTGATGAAAGCTATTGAACGCCTTCACTTTATTAATTAAATCACCTTTGCCGCTGTAGCAGCGCAGGTAGCAGTGGGTGCTATGAGCCGGAAGTCTTTAGTTCAAATCCCGAATGGACAGAAAAAATCATTAAAATGGATTGATTCGGATAAAAAATAAATATATAATATAATATACACATATGTATGTATTTCAAACTTCATACAATGACGAGATGCAGTGGTGGACATGGTTAACATGTCTGCCCCTCCACCCGTGTTTCCGACACCTCAAGTAAGGAATGAAGCACTTGGATTGAAACTTGGTTTATATATTCTTTGGGTCGGGTTACCAGTACGGAAGCTACTGAAAATCGGATCAAGCTAACGCACACCTCCTGTGCAATAGTTATTTTGAAAAGTACGAAAAATACGAAAATTCAGCAACTAAATTTGAAATGAAATTCAATTTGTCATAGACGATCACATTAAAGCGGAAAATAGGGGAGGCTGGGCGTAGCACCAACAACTTTTGGCTCAAAAAGTATATCTTGAAAACAACAGGGCCTAATTCGATATAATTGTATACTTATAATTCCTTTGATCTTGTTTGAAATCGTATAAAATATGAACGCAAACAGACAACAAACATTTTTGCCTTAAAACGGACTTTTTGGTGACTATACCAAGCGGAAGGTTATAGATTCGACCCAATCAATAAGCGAAATTATAGAAAATTTATTTAAATAAAAATTAAGAAAATTTTTCTAATTGCGGCCGCTAGTCGCAGGTTATGTAAGCCCCTTCAAGTGTATCTCCTACATGAGATAAAAGCTTCTCATGAAAATCCCTAAGTCATTTGGAAGCGGCTTAGAAAAAAATTTAGTTCACCAAAACGCAAACCAAAAATACGTGGAGGTTACAAAGAGCCAATATGTACATATACATACAAATACATATTTATTTTTAACCGAGCATGAAATATTTAAGGAATTATTTCAGAGAACTAATCTGATCCATGGATATCTAGATTCTAGGTCTTTCTTAAAAATCAGATAAATTCGTAATTTTAAGTACGTGGCAAAAACAACTGTTGGTTCAACAGTGAGATATATTTTAATTCTTAGAAATTTTCATATATTAAATAAATTATTTGGCATCACTAAAAAATTAATAAAGAAATATTCAAACTAATTAAAGATACTCTTATTAAAAAAAAAATAATAATAACAAAAAAGCTATTCATATTGTAATTAGAGCATAAGTTGGGCCGAAAATGGCTGAAGTGGCTAGAAGTTATCCATTACTTATTATGTATATTATATATATATATATATACAGGTGTAGTGTTTATCATTTATTGACCGTAGGTGAGTGAATCAAATACGCCCAAATAAAAACACAATCCACAAAATAATTACACAAACATTTTATATTTCCATTCCAATGTTTATTTGTACTTCATAGTCAATTAAGTGCCTTCGCTTCAGCTTAGAGCTGTTTCTTGTATTCATGTTGATCGATTAATTTACGGTCTTTTAACAAATATGATGCATAAGAAATTGCCATGCCCACCATAATAGCCTGCAGTAGAAGTACTTCCCTTATATTAAGGTCCCTGATTAAAGTTTGAGTCTATCTATTGAGCGGAGTTTTAAAAATAAAATAAATTTTAATGTTTTTCAATTAAAGAAAGAATTAAATAATTGATTTATATGAAATGTTTTAAAAATTTGAAAATAAAAATTAATCAAAATGACAGGAAAGAATAAAAATAAAAATATGTTAATCACCACATTGATTCACTAGCTTGCTATACAAGCTAGGGTCCAACCTAATTGATTAATAGAAGAAAAGGCTACGGAAATTACGTAAAGAAGTTTGATTGTTGAAGAAAAAATTACTAAAATAATAATAAAATTATTTTTAGAAATTAACATTGAATGAGCAATTTTTTTTGCCAACTTATTAAAATTAAAACAGTTATTCATGATAATCCTTCTATAACGTTAGGAAACCAGAAATGAAATGGTTCAGTTGTAATGAAGATGTAATAATTATTCTAGATTATAAAAAATGGAATTATTTTTCGTGATATGATAATTATTTAGATATATTATTAGGTCCAGTAAAAGATTCGTTCGGTTCTTTATGGATTTTTCAAAATATGCTAACTTTGTGCCGTTTTGTTCGTAAACTTGTTGCCAACGAGATGGCAACTTCATTATACCCCTCTCGTAGAATGCTGCGTCCCTCTCGGCAAAAAACTCGGAGAGCCAACCTTCACAGGCCTCTCTTGAGGCCAACTTCTCACCATTAAGCGCGTTTGCCATGGACAGGAAAAGATGCTTATCACTTGGTTCCAGGTTCGGACTATAAGCTGGTGCATTAAGATTTCCCATCTGAGCTCCTGGAGCTTCTGGCGCATCACCAAAGCTGTGTGTGGCTTGCCGTTGACCTGATGGAACACCTGATGGCCTCTGTTGATCAATGATGGCCTCTTTTGGAGACTGTTGCCTTCAAGCGGTCAATTTGTTGGCAGTAGAGGGCCATATTGAGCGTTTGGTCATAGGAGAGCAGCCTTGCCAATTCCACCAAACACACAACAAAACCTTCCTGGCCGTCATTCTGGTCTTGTCCACCGTCTGGGCCGCATACCCGAGCTTTGACCACGACCGTTTGCACTCGATGTTGTCATAAGTGACCCATTTTTCATCGTCAGTCACAATCCGCTTCAGAAACGTGTCGATTTTGTTGCGATTCAGCAGCGATTCGCAGATGGAAATTCGGTCCATCATGTTTTTTGCGTTCCGAGCTTCTTTTTGAATCCAAGGTTATGCAAATGGTTCCAAATGCTTTTCTGGCTTATCTTTAGCTTTAGCTTAGCAATTAAATAAGTGCTCACAAGACGATCTGTTTCCACTATTACCATGATTTTATCGCAATTTTCGACGACAGGCCTCCCGACTCGTGGTGCATCTTTGCATAGAAATTACCCGAACGGAACCTAGCAAACCACTTTTGTGCTATATGTTCGTTTACAGTATCGGGCCCATAAACTGAATTAATTTAATAAAAACCGAACGAACTTTTTACTTGACCACTATTTGGTGCTTTGTAACCGCTGACGCGATTTTTCGGCCGAGCTCCACCTGAAAATTTGTGGTTTTGCGTCTTGATGTTTTTCCCAGAAATGGAGGCACCTACAGTTTATACTTAGCCACCTCCGAACGGTGGTTTTTCAAGAGGACCATTTATTTTCCGTCAGAAATACACTAGGAGGGGTTGACATTTCTTGCTGAGGAGCGACCGCAATCAGAAAATTTAGCTAAAATTTTTATTTAATTTAATTTTCTATAATTTTTTGGATGTTAGTACGACACCTGCATTTGAACCCGAGCCTTCCGAATGGCAGAGTACGCAATGCTGACCACTCGCCGCCATAATAATTTATTTAGTTTAAAGAATTCGAATATTGTACTAAATAATTGTTAGAAAATCAATTTCATTCAGGACTGAAATACATATTCAAGCATCAACTATTGAATGAACTTCAAAAAAATTTATTGCCACAACGCAAGATCTTGTATCAAACCTACACCTACCACTCAGTCCTACTCGTTTCTCAACACTTCGTAAGTAAGTATACATATATTCTAAAAATACATACCGGTTACGATTTGTTCCTCTGGCTTTTTATTGGCATTCCGTTTGAATATGAAATCTCCGAGTGCTCGCGATAACGCTAAATTGCCATTTACACGATTGAATTCCACATAGCCGCCACCTTCATGTATACGTTTAGTTTCCGCCTCATTATTTGGCTTATGGTCCATAGACAAAGTCTCTACCTCTCCATTGATGCAAGCGATTGCACGGGAATCACCAGCATTGGCACAATACAAACGGTTATCTTTAATAAGTACAACAACAGCAGTTGATCCGGCCATTTGTTCACCCCACGACTCATTGTATAACATCTCATAGTCGATGTCTAAAAATGCCTGAAACCAAAAAAAAAAAAATATATATTCATAAATAACTTGTTTTCTGTAGAGAAATTCACGTGCTTTACCTGCTTTAAAGCTTTTTCCACATTTTCTTTGTACTCCGGACGCCTTAGTATGAATTTATGCAGATGTTTGCCAGCGTATTGGGCTACTGTGGCACCGCCATGCCCATCGTATACGGCAAAGAATGATGTACCGGGATCATCGGGCAATGAAAGTATATGCGTATGCGAATCTTCCATATTTATACGCCATCCTTGCATACAGCTGGAACCAACGCGATATAATTCATTCTGACAATATGCAGACTCTTTGGCTGTGACTGGTTCGGAAAGGGTTTGACCCATTTTGTAGGAGTGTTTCTGTGTGTTTTTGAGAGTTGCGAGTGCAGCAAGTCGAACGACTTAGTAAATGTGGATGCGTCGACTAATGGTAATACTTTTCCCAATTATGCTCTTACTTTGGTTATAAAAAAAATGTGATTCTTATTTCTTTATATGTGAAATGCAAAATAAAAATTGCGTCGCTTCTGAAAAAGAAGGAAATTAAATTAATATTATTATATATTTATTATAAAATAGTGTTAACGACGAAGTGAAATCTCACTTTTGAGGATCTTTCTTCTAGAAATATTCACTACATATGTACGTATATATATATTATCATTAAAATACATAACCGATAAATAATTTAACTTAATAACTCAACCCTGCGGCTCAATAATTCACCCGTGGCAAGGCTTGCCTGTCGTAAGAGGCGACTAAAATCTGATAGCTCCCGCGACAGTCGGGTCTTTATACCGGTACGAACCGGGGGTTTGTCCCACAATATTCTACGAAAACCGTTTCGGGCAATATTTTGCTGTTATAACAACAACAACAACAACTTAATGACTGATTCTAACTCTTCTACAGTCTTTTATTGTAAAAGAAAGTACATCCATAATTAATAAATTACATAAAAGCTTCGAAAAAATTTTCACTTTCTCAAGATCGCAAAAATTCCCATAGAAATATTAGCATTCGATCACAGACTCCCCAACAAATATATAAACAAAACAGCATTTGTTGGTCAAGTGCTACAAAAAATACATAGAACGTACCGTAAACTTTGTAATTCACGCTTAAAATCTTTGTTATATAAGGAATTTTGTTTGATTTTATACACAAAATATTTTATAACAGAATATTTGTCATTTTCGAATGCAGGAAAATATAGGAAAATGTCTCATAGTAAACATAAATGACAGCAGAAGCTGACGCACACCGGAACGAAAGTATGTACATATGTAAATATGTCAATCAACCGTCATTTGGAAAATACAAGTAATTCTATGGAAACTACGAAGTGAGTCAAAAAGAACTAAAAAAAAAGAAAAAAAAAACGTAAAAAATAAACAAAAATGCAAATAAGAATATTGCTGAGTAGAGACAGACATTTGGAAGATGCATTTGAGTAATTCTTACACGCAAGCTAAAAATATACGTATGCATGATTAATTGGTTAGTAATTGTCCCTTCTCTACTCTTATTGCATCATGCTGAAAATTGATACACGTTTCTTTTCGAATTGCTACTAAATTTAAATGAATGATTTTACAACCCAACCAACCATCTTGGAAGCGCTACGAAGAAAATACTCTTAAAAGACATAATGCATGTTTAGATGTGCACTTGAAAAAGTGTACTAAAACCTGTTTTACCTTCATGCCGGAGCCTCTAACCGAAGTCTTTACCCAGATAAAGTTTTCTTGATAAATTTCTTAAATATTCGATCCTAAGTCCTGTGGCGATCATATATAGAAAGTTTGTTGTTATATGGAAGGATGACCTACTATGGCTACCATCCTTCTTGTGAACTTAAGTTCAAATTATCAGTAACATACCTACCAAGTTTGGTTAAGTTCTGTTGTTTAATGCCTTAAATATGCAATCCTTTTAAGCAGAGGGTTGTTATATAAAGCACAACCACGTATTCATACTATAAGTATGGGGCCGTGTGAAGCTCACCCAAGTGTAGAATATTTGTGACTGCAATTTTCCTTGCATTATTCAAACAACACGCGACTTCTGGCCTTAGACCAGTTATCCTTTGGCTTGCCACTTACAAATCTGAACCATATAGAGGAATCGGATCTTATGCGCTGTTTCCAGATCGAAGAACTCATAACTAAATCGATAGACGAAAGACGAAAGAAACATCTCCAGTGTTCTAGATGTACGTGTATGTATATTCCAGGGAACTTACATCAACTCGCGTAACTATTTTGAAAGGAGGCCTTCGAGCAAACACAAAAGGAAGATTGAACGCCGATTAGCTGCTACCACAGCAAACACGCAAATGGACTTACATTCCGACTTTCTGCGAGCACTAGACAAATTGATAATAGGGAGCTTTAGAAGCAATTGGTTTTCGTTAATGTCGGGAAAAAGTTGGCATGTTGAGCAATTTAGAACTAATGTGGAAGATGCGCTGCAAAGGGCTGTGAAACACTCATCATGCAGTTGACATGCACATAGACATATAGCACATTCATTGGCTACATCACACCATCCGGATGCATTAAAACAGTCCAACTTTGCAAGTGGGAGAAAAGGAAGAAAAATACAACCTATTTCCGTTGTAAGAAACAAGTATAGAATGGCAAAGACATCGAGGAAAGCGAGACAAAAAAAGAAAAAATCTGAAATTCGTTAAAATGAAGAGCTTAAAAAGATGGCCGGTGTTGACAGTGCTAATTCATACCCGAATAATCGATGAAAACAGAAATGTTACAGAAGTGTTCTATGCCGGAACACACTCAGGTACGGATCAATGAGATAATCTGATGACTGATATCAATGCATACAAATACTTAGAATTCCACACAGATGAAGGTGGAAAATACGTACCAAGGCCCGATAGTAGAGGGTATGCATTTCATGATCATTTAGTACAAATTTAAAAAATTGTAAATTAGTATCAAAAAGGGAAGAAAGGGAAGAAATTCGCCCACCTTAATTTAAATCGAATTCAAGAAGATGAGGAGTTGACTGGATTTGATACAGCGACGTTTGAATGCAAATCAGTCTCAAAGATTTACTGATGTTTCCATTCAATTTAATCGCTTAATAAATTAATATTTGAAAATCTAGTCAGGTAGTTAGGTTAACAGGTTGCTCGATCACATGAACCCTGATCTCGTGACGATACCTACGTTTATGTTGGTTCTGTGTAGAAGATTCGTCTTTCCACTTTCCCAGATGCTCAAACCATTTGGTGTATTTTACGAAGTTCAGGAGATTAAAGATGCTAACAAAGGGTGTTTTTTTAGCTCTTATCTTTTTGGCAACACTGGTTTAAACAGCTGACGCACGTTTCGTGTTTTGTCTCACTGTCAAATATTTTCAGTTTTCATAATTTAACCAACAACTGTCTTACAAATGAACAAAGTTTACAAATTATTGAATTTCATTATCAAAATGGGCTTCGAAGGGAATTATTGAATTTCATTATCAAAATGCGCCCTTCGAAGCTCATTTTTTGTTTAATGGGTGCGTAAATAAGCAGAATTGTCGATTTTGCAGTGAAGATCAGCCATGAGCATTGCAAGAGCTACCAATGCATCCAGAAGAAGTTACAGTTTGATGCGGTGTAGAATCATTGGGCCGTATTTCTTTAAAGATGTTGCGAATCATAACGTAACGGTGAATGATGAGCGTTACCTTGAGATGATATCAAACTTTTTTTTTCCCAAAATACAAGAGCTGGTCTTTCATGACATGTATTTACAACAAGACGCTGTCACATGCCACACAGCACGCGTAAGAAAGGACATATTGAAAGGCGAGTTAAGTGAATATTTCATTTCACGTTTGGGACCGGTCAATTGGTTGCCTTCAACGACTTTAGACTATTTTTTATGGAGCAGTATTAAATCTAATGTTTATACAGACCCGTCAATGGACGCATTGGAGGACAGCGAGACAAAAAGCATTTATTCGGCAGTGACCAGCCGTAATGTTGGAAAGAGTAAGCCATAATTGGACCGTACTGTAGATTCAAATAAAGATTTCATATATTTTTTTAAACTTTATGTGTTTGTTTTCTAAAGCTTCCTATAGCTCTTAAAAATTCACGCTTTAGTTGTAAGCTCTTTTAAGCAATCGAAGTAGAAATTTCCGAGCAATCGCAAAGCACTAAGAGTTGGACAGTGACAGAACAGTTGTTTGAGAAACAGCTCAACCTTCTACCATGAGTCTCCACAACACAGTAGCCGGTCAATATCCGAGTTGTTATGCTTATGGAGGTCACATTTAGAAGGAGTAAAAACTTAATTCCATTCACTTTCATCAATTGCACGATGGTTTAACTCTGTCATTGCTATTGCCCTTTCTGCTGAAGGTTAGTTTAAAAAAAATACATAGCCGAGTAAAGAGGTATGTGTAGAGTTTACCGGGGTTTCGCTTATAGGCTAGAAACCCTTTAAGTCTGAGTATCGAAAAAAGTAAAAAAAATACCTTTTAAGTTTTATTTATAATAAAAAGCATTTAACAAATTCTTTTCATACTTTTGCAACAACAGCAGAACGTCTAGAAACAAATTTTTTAATAGATCCGTGATACGTGTATTCAATATTATAGCATCTGTTTAGAAGATAACCCCAATAAAAAGGATTTAAAAAATCTCCAAGTTAAATATTATATTGGTGGCAAGATCAAGCACTACTGAGCAAACACGTTTAAGGCAAAAATTTCGAGTTTTTGTGTCATGGTTTTTTGATGATTTGTTTTTTATTTTTTAAGAGAGCATTTATGTTTGCTTTTGCTTTTCGAGAATCGATCTGCATTACCTCTACAATTCCAAACGGTAATGCCTTGCCAAATCTGCTAGAGGGTTACACGCGCTTGCGTACGCACACAGGCATGATGCATGCATGATCTAGCAATATAACTTAGTCATAATTAAAATTTATTGTATATTAGCTACGAAATCGATTTTTATGAGTATTGCGAAATCATTATTCTAGGAAATGCCATTTCATCTTGAAAAATGCCTTTTTCTGTGTAGTTAATCTGTGAGAGTGGAAAAATAATTAAGAATCATTTTAAATTTTATCTACAAAAATATAAAGATGTGTATACACATACTTGTATGTATGTACTTTAGCGAGATATACAAATGCGTTAATATTTGGCAAGATGAAACACTTCAAACATAAACAAAGTTGAGTGTGCTACTCATAAAATAAATACGTATTCCATCGCACTGATTTTTTTTTTGCGCACTAGTAGTAAGCACCTATACGAACACATTGCTACATACATACATACATACATATGCTTATTATTGACCTGTAGTAAAAGTCAATTTACTTGGGAAATCAATCCTCAGGTGACAGAATGCTTTGCAAGAGCATCCCTCTCAATGCGATTTTGATATTCCCTTAATTTAAAAGTCGAATTAAAATTTCATAACTGAAAAACTTGCCTGTGATGATGTAAATTCATTTCGTTTCATTTGGTATTACTTTGAAGGGAATACACTTAC